TCGAAGTGGATAGAGATTTAAAAGGCAAAGTACACAAGAAAAGAGGAAACTCCCAAATGTAGAAACTTTAGGTCCTTATCTTCTCATATATATGCCTAATTGAATGACTTCTTGTTTGACTTCAAAATTGATACTAAATTGATTTTTTTTCTTACTATCACCTAATTGGAAATCGTTAGAAATTTAGATAATGAAAAGTCTATGAGTCCCCCAAAATTTTCGGCTATGTATCACATTATTATAATTTTGTTTGTATGTATACGATAGTAACGATACAACATTTGTCACATGCAAGAAAAAGCCAAGGAATAAAGAAACTTAAGTTTCATCATAATATATGCCTCGAACATTTAATTGGTGCGTATCGAGCAATAACTATAAGATATCAATATTCTAATAATCATCCAGAAACAAGTCAAAAAGAATTATCGAGTTTTCATGATGTACAAACAAGAATATATAGGGTCAATTCAATATTTTTTCCTCATCGACTTTTCACCGCAATTATTGTAATGTATTCGTCTATTATTAAAGACCATACGTCAAAATCATTGTGATAAGTACAACACATGAGTGATGATGAGTGTGAGAGGTGTCCAAGTAAGTCCAACGAAACAAGTATAATTTTAGACCCTATAACTTCAGTTTTATAGACAAAAACTATTGAACTACTGCAAACGATACCGTTTTATAGCCGAAGTTTGTTGCTTATGACGCAAGAAACCAGAAAACAGAGTGTGTTTTTTGGTTACTTGTGAGAAGAAGCTGCTTTGTCTTTCCGACCAGCGAGGATCATAGAGATCTGAAGGCCTTTGCTAAAAGCTTGATTGAAAAGAAGACGAGCTTGAAACTCCGAAACAATGGGGAACCAAGAAAGAACAGCGATTGGTGCGAAGATTACAAGCCCCATTATCTTCTCATACGCTCTTCCTAGCTCCTTCACCGAGTCCCAAATCCCTAAAGCTTTGATCGGTGACCTCAGGACTTGCCCTATCTGAAAACAAAGATCCAATTGTGAATGATTCTATGTACATGATGCAAATCCTAGTATTATGACTTTGAAGAGGTTTTGATGAATGTTTACCAGAAGAATCGCCCAACCGGTTGGAAGAAAAGCAAGAATGGAAGCAGAGAGATCGGTTAGTGTGAGCTCGCACACCACAAATAACAGAGTCATTACTGACAAGAAGCCGAGGGAGAGAACAGACTCGTGCCTAGAATTTTTAAGAGTAATTTATAGAAATGTCATAGTTTGACAGTGCAAAAAGGCACATATGTGTTTTGTCTACAAAAATGTCACAAGAGTTACTTTTAGGACAGAAATACCCTTATTTTCTTTAACCA